TTGAGGTATACCTATGATGAAAATTACAGGCCTCTCTCATCTTTTTAAGTGGGAGAACTTGCACAATTGGTGGCTGACTAAATACTTTTTTGCCCCACTGTAGATAGATATGAAAATCAGACAAATTAGAGAAAACGATTGAATTAGAAGAGACATTGGATAGAGAATTTTAAAAATTGTTTATTTGTAAACATTCTAACTCTTCATTGCTAAAACAATTCCAGATCAGTCACTTAAAAGGAACTGAATGAAGGACCTAACAGTTAACAGTAACTGAATAAAATCCAGCAGGTCAAATTTTACAGCTGTTTATTAGAAGGATCTGTTAATTGCTTAGGCAGCTCAAAACAGGTAGTATCAGGAAAAGAAGAAGAAACACACAGAGCTAAGCAGTGGTTAGGTTTTGTTTACCACTGAACACAGCCTTCCCCGTTACTTCCTTCCTTTTCTGACTGTTCCAAACAAAAATCATTTTAAAGAAGAAGCACTGCGTCTCTTTCGTATTCCTTAAAATTCCAGGTCTGTGAACAAAAACTGTATAAAGGTCCACATTCAGACCCAGGTCCATTCAGAATGTTACCATTTTTCCCAGATCACTGCAACAGTAGCCAAAGCAACCTTACATCTATTTGGTAGCAACATACTAGCATAAAATATATTGTTTTGCCACCTCTTACTCATATTAGAATATCATGTGAATTTTGATTTCAGTTCTTCCCCTTCATTTAGCAGCATTTTAAACATTTCTAAATTTTATTTTTAAACATGCAGTCTTTAAGAATCACAGTATGCATGGTGGGAGGTTGGGATTGTTTTATGGGTTTCAACAGAGGACTGGAAATTTCTTTTGTGTACATTTGCATGGGGATAAGTTAGTTTTTAAAAAGAAACAATCTTGACAAGCTGTCTTGGTCCATGTATTGCAAAGTACAGTTAGAGAATGATATCTCTTTACTTTTACATCTTATTCCAGGAACACAGAACAAATGCATTCCTGGATCACACGAATTAATGTGGTAGCAGCCATGTTCTCTGCACCACCATTTCCAGCTGCCATTGGGTCCCAAAAAAAATTCACTCGCCCATTACTGCCCAGTTCTACCACAAGACTATCACAGGTAAGTGGGGCATCTTTATTCTTCATACTTTATTGAATCTAGAATTATTGTGAAAGAACTGGAGAACAATTAATAGTGGGATTAAGATAATAAGATTCTGATGCAAAAAGGGTCATAGAAATAATGAAACTTCCAGAATTGAATGAACTGCCTTGAAATTGGCAAGTGGGAGTTGTGTGTCCATGTATCTGTACAAAAATTTAGATTCAGTGAGGATTCTAAAAAAAGCACAGAGCTGAAGAAATTGGTAACACTGCCTCAGAGAGAAAATAGGACAGTGAAGGCAAGTTGTGAATGCCAGTTGGGGCTGATTTCTGTTTGGAGGTGCAACAATAGAGATCAAGAGCAGCATTTTCCTCCATTCTTCCATAGGAAGAGCAACTGAAGAGTCATGAAATCAAATTTAAAGCCATGGCAGCAGAGCTTTTGGAGCATCGTTCCTCCCTTCCTGAGAAGAAGCTGAAAGGCAAGGAGTATGAGGAACTGAAGCAGAAAGAGGAGTATCTGATATTTGAAGTAAGTAGGAGGCGGTAAAGGGACAGATCTGTTTCCAAAGAGAATTTGCTAAGCTGTGTTGGAGATGGTAGCAGAAGGTTAACAGAAAAGAGAGGCAGGGAAGATGTTTCCATTTGAGTAGCCCTTCATCAGGACTGATCTAAGGCCAGCAACACACATACTGGAAGCTGAAACTCAAAACATTTGGAGAGAGCAGTTGGTGGATGCTGCCCTACTGGAACTAATCAAGGTCCCAGTTCCTTCATAAATGCTTGCAGAAGACCCTGAAGGAAAGTATGAAGGCAACAGTTCTCCCATTGTTTGCCCTTCGGCCTACTGCTATTCTGGGGTACTAACTCTACATATGGAGGTGTCCTTTGGTTGCCTTAGAAGGGTAACTTTTGACCATCCAAATTCCCATGAGTCTCAGTATGGCCAAAGTTAGGAGATAATGGAGTTGCAGTCCAACAGTAGCTAGAGAACAGTAGCTACAGATACCCAAGTCTTGGCTCACACCCTGCGTAAATTTATCTAATGCACCTTAAGTCAGTGTTTCTCAACCATAGCAACTTTAAGATTTGTGGACCAACTCCCACAATTCTCCAGCCAGCACTGCCTTAAGTCATCTAACTACCAGTAAACCATATGGGAATTGTTTGTTCTGTTCATTCTACATATAAACACTTTCCTTGGCTTTCATGATCCTGCTGTAGCTGGATTTAGACTAATTAATCAGATTTTAGTCCTGTTGAAAATCAGTGGGTTAATGACATAATTAACTTCATTTTGTTAATTTAAATGGGAATAAAATAAGTCTTTAGGATTCAAAGCAACATCCTTACTATGGAATGAGTTGAGGATACAGATCTGATATCCTCCAGATATTTTGGATTTCAATTCCCCTAATCTAAAATCAGCATGGCCAGTGGTGAGACATTGTGGGAGTTGTATCTAAAATATCCAGAGGGCACCATGTTACCTTCAAAGTCCATGTTGCTTCTAGAACCACATCTCTAGGAATTTTAAACATAATGTCATTTTATTCAGTTCTGAGAAGTTCTGAGATTTTTACTTTCATGTTACTCCTTGCTTTTTCTATAGTCCATAGCTATCATTAAGACATCAGCCAAATGGGCCACCAACCTGTTGCTTCTTGCTTTCTGCAGAAATTACGCTATGGCATTTATGCTACACTAATGCGCACCAAACTGAAGACTGGTTCTGAGGATCTGGCAGCTTTGGAAGTTACCTTATTTGATACAGTGGATGGCACAGAAGACAGCTTCAAGGAGTCCCAGTCCAGCCTTTCCCTGAACCAGGAGCCAGCTGGCACAAGTTCCAAGATGAAACGCAGCCATCAGCAAGCTACTAGTAACCAGCAAAAATCATAAGTGATCCTTCTTTGCAAAGAAAATGGCATTCCTGTCCTAGAAATTTGCAAGTCGTCATTCCTCATGGTCAGGAGTCACACAATAGAAGACATTGTTAATGGGCCCAATTCTGTATCAACTTCACCAGTGGAAAGACCTGTCATGACTGCAGTCCTACTGTATACAGCCTTCCCAGTATTATCAGACTATGGCTTATGGGTGAAAGAACAAAAATCCACAATTAAGTAACAGGACTGCATTCTTAATCAGTGCTTCGCTATATCAACGTTTTCCATCTCTTGCAAAACCAAGAGTAGGGGAGAGGAAGAAAGGAGACTACTTCCCTACCTTTTCTTACATTTTTTGTGATATATTTTACATTTTTAGTACCTGATAATGCTGAATCACACTGGAATAGAAAAAGTAATTTTGACATTGCATAAGATAGACAGTTATTACATTCAGTGAATACGTTTGCGTAGCGTTTTGGGGGCAGAGACTCCTGCTCTTCCTTGCAGATACAGCACTGCACTTTCAGCCTGCAGGGGCAACTTCTTCATGGAAGCCCAATTCTTTCACCACCAGCAGCTCTCCTGGAGTAGCTGAATTATTTTTTCACCAGCATAAGCTGGATCATGACTTATCCTGATAATTGTTCAGCTCTTACAAAACTGGGCAGAGGTTGTATATGCTTCAAGGGGACCAGCACTAACAGGTAAAATCAGGGACAGTGGATACCTCCCAAGTGGCAGCTGGACAATGCCATAATAGGGTAATCCATCAGCACATATTTGTCTAACTGTTCTCTTCCACAGCAGAAAACCATAGGCAGTGGGCCTGCTGGTCTTAGGCCTAATTAGGTTCTGCCCTTCATGAGTAACCAGAACAAAATCTATTGATTATGTAATAGAAAGAAACGTTGGCCGTTCTATCACTTAAGCCTGGTGGGGGCATATTCGGAGGAGAGATGGGGGCATTCCAAACTTCCAGAAGCGTTCCCAATTCCCAAACCATTGGTTGCATAGGTGGTATGGTCATAACGCCTATATAGATAGCCTGGTTCTTTAACTTGTAATTTCAAAAGGCTTTAAGGCATGGCTCAAAGCTTGATCACTGTTATGTATGCAGTGAAAGAAAAAAGGACCCAGCTGATGATCAGGACAGAAGTATAAGCAAGATTAAATTCTGCAGATGTGGAATACCAGGCTACCTATATGATGGGAGTATTGCAGGGTAATACCTGAGAGACAAACACCACTCCCAGAGATCCAGCACTGAATCTCTAAATATGTCAAATTTCTTCTGTTCTAAGCAGACTGTAAAAAAAGCCAATTGTACAGTTTCTTTTTCAGCTACTGAAGTAAACCAGCTCAAGCATCTATAGTGATCCAGTTGTCCCTCAAACTCTTTCTGTATTACAGAAACAGGATAAAGAATGTCATTGTGAGTGCCATAAACCAGGATCAGCAACTTCTGTTGCCTGGTTCATACAGATAACTGATCACCTCAATATAAATGAACC